GCACGCATGTGCATGCACGCACCAACACCTCCTCTTTCAGGTAGAGAGGCATGGTTCAGTCCCTTCCCTGCACTTTTCTATAACCCAACGCTACTGATCTCAACCTACACAATACAACTGCAAACGAAATGCATGTACTTTTGAGAATGGGAATTTCCCCTCTATATAACAATATTTACACTAATTAAACACTCAAAACCCTGCATTTTAATAAAATGCTTTCCTTGCTATGTTATTAAGGCTACATAGATTAAAAAGGATGACCAGCACCCAGTTTCTGTGTAGAACTTACACATAAAGATTGCATCTTTTTTATTTATTTACAGACCTTGCTATTACCACTTTAGTGAAATATACTTAAAAGCTTTTTACTCCCTGCCCCCCACCACCGGGGCTGGATCTCAGCTGTGGGGATTGTTGTAGCATGAGGGATAAGCATTCTTGAACTACAAACCATGCTGAGTGCCGACTTATACTAACTGTGATTTTTGGAATATTTTAGATTTTGTATTTTGGTGTAAAGATGTTCCTGTGATAGTCTATTCAAGGGGAGAAAGAAGAGGAAGTAGAAGAGGAGGAGAAGATGGGAGAAGAGAAGGAAGTGACTCCAAGTTCTGAGATACTTCTGGTCCTGAGCATTTGGGATAATGGGTACTGAAACTGTAAGGGCTTCCAATGACTCATGCCCTTTGCCCTTGGGTAGTCGTCTCCACCTCTTCCTCTAATTGCTCAGGCTTGGCTGCCTGACTTGCTGAAGCTGATGGGACATTAGCAAACAATGCAATAATAGGCCCAATACCACTGTTGAGCATGTGGGTACACCTTGCCTAGCAAGTTGGTACCCAAAGGGCAACAGTGACATGACTTTTACAGGGTAACCAATTGTTTTCTGATTGGATTTGGGTCTGTTTCACAGGAGAGATTTCAGGGCTAGTACCACAAACCTGTTCAAAAGCCCAGGGCTGAAGAGGTCATAGGCCTTAGGGTGGGACCTACTATTTTTACTGTGCTAAATGGTTATGCTATCGAGCTGTCTTCTAAACATTTAATTTAAACCCATAGATCTGGGCTGCTCTCAACCCCAGAAGAGAAGCTTTTCCTTGTGCCGAGCATCAGTTAATGAACACTTCCAATTGGTCAAAACTGCTGAGAACAAATAACCACAAGTGCTTAGCCCTAAATGGGACATCTTTTATCAGACCCCCACGAAGGTTCAGGTAATATTGCAGAAGAGGAGGTAAAAAGAATTTGATAACCAGAAGAGAGGGGAAAGTACCATGAAATGTTGTCTTCTGGGAAGATGTGGCAATTGCACTCACAAACTCATAGCCTCTGTGGTTACCTGCAGGAGACCTTCACAAAAGAAGCCAGCTCAAATTACAACACAGACTGGGGGTGAGCTCACAAGACCTCACCCCTAACTGAGGAGCTGTTGGCATTCAGTAGCTTCTTGGAGAGGGAGAATCATTCTTGGGAGGGGTGGCCCAAGGTAGGTTGCCCATGCTCCAGTGAATGTTGGCACATCCAGGTAGCACGAGCTGGACTTAGTGGGTTATTTTAGAAAAGGACTCCATGAAGTTGAGAGAGGATCTGGGGGGACTGGAGAGGAGAAGTGGGTGGGAGGGTGGACATTTCATTGTATAGACACATAACATTCTCAAAGAATAAGTCTCAATGATTTTTAAAGCTCAAGACATTGGGACTTGTGTTCCTTTGCTTCCTTTCAAAGCTCTGAAGCCTCATAAAGAATCCTAGGCTACACCATTTGAGGGTGAGAAACCAAATGGAATCCCACAGACCAAGCCAGGCTTCTTCCTGCCAGATTGCCTCTTTACGGTGAAGCCGGTGGCTTACCACAGAGATCAGCTGAGCCAGGCCAAGTGTGACTCAGGGAATTGAGAAAAATAATGAAATGAGAAGCCAGGTGTGCTAGTGAAGCCTCAGCCATTTGAGGTAGATTTTCATACAGTAAAATCCAATGACATCTACAAGTGAACCTCTGGGGGAGCTGTGCTCAGCCAGGACAAACGGTGCTAAAAGTGGGAGACTTTAATAGCTTAGACAAAATTGCACCAACACCATCAAACTGAGAGAAAGGTGAAAGTAACTTACCCCATATTCCCATAAACACTGCAAAGACTAGGGTTCCAAAACTGTCAAAGATGCACAATTTCTGGAAAATAGAGCAGCAACACATAAATAAATGAATCCTTCGCTTATCAGCATTCAGCAAACACATAACGCTCTGTGCACTCTGCAACTCGAGTGTTTGCTAGGGCCGATGCTGGCTTAGCAATCACGACAGGTATGACATACTCACAGATGGAATTTCTCACATTTTAAAGGCAAACAGCTTTCACGGCCTGAGCCCTGAGCCCGAGTGCATTTTCTAGTAGAATCTCCCCACACTGCGATAAAGAAATAGGCGCATCTGCTAAGATTGTGGGTGCTAAAGCCTCTTTTATGAGCTGTCAGAGTGAAGGGAAGGACGAAGCCAGTGGCTCTAAGAATCTAGTGCCCTCTAAGCAACTTTATGATTTGCCTCTTATCATTGTCTCAGTCCCCTCAGAGGATAAGTTCCAGAAATACTTCTTTTCTTATTATATATATATAAAAAAAATAATACAAAGCTGAGTTTCTGTAGCTATGGCTCTCCTCCAGGAGCGCTCTGCTTCCTCCAACCCACAGATGGCTTGGCTCCTGTAACTGCCATGCTTCCTTCCAGTGGGATAAAGGCTATGCAGGTGCTACTGATGTCAGCAGCACAGTTATCACAAAGGGCCACTCTCTCACTGATGCCAAGCTCGATCTCTTTGCCGATAGATACACAGCCTTTATGACATCCTGCAAAGACTTTTCATTGGTTACCAACTTTCATTAGTGAGCAGCTAAAAACTTAAGATAGAACCTACAAAGCTAATGGAAAAGTGGGAGACATGTATTCTGCCTACTTTTTTTTTTTTTTTTTGACACAGGGTTTCTCTGTGTAGCTTTGGAACCTATCCTGACACTCGCTGTGGAGACCAGGCTGACCTCGAACTCACAGAGATCCACTTGCCTCTGCCTCTGCTGGGATTAAAGGCGTATTCTGCCTACTTTACAAGCGGCCCATGAAGAGTAAAGTGGGGGGAGGGGGGAGGCAAAGGCTCCGAGTGAACAAGGAAATGTTTCCAGTGATAACATATTCAAAGCCATTTCTAAGTAGGAAGTGTACTTTGCTTTAGGTAGTTTTTTTGGGGTTGCCTTTTATACTTAGACAAAGTGATGTAATTTTCATGTATGCAAAATAAATCACTGGTTATTTTCATAAGACATGTATCTAATTAGTTACGGTCTCATCCACTTGGTTCCCAAAGCATGTATGTATCCCCTCAACCATCCATGTGGACCTTGGTCACACACCACAATTCTCTAAATGGTCTCATGAAACAATTCCTCTTGAAAACCCTTCAGGTCAAGGAAGATGGACTTGTCATGCTTAGATGTCCTGTGCCCCACAAATGATGCTTTCCATATCTTTTATCTTTGCCTTTTGGAAAACCACCTGCTCTGAGATGTTTTTCAACATGATGTTCTACCCTTCATTACAAATAACTACACACAAAGAGCTATGAAAAATATTCCAAATGTGTAATCTGCTTCTCAAGATCCCTTTCAATGCCACGTCCATTTTGGAATCGGTACAAGTCACACCAACTGCCTAGTGCCCAAGGAGTGATATATGCCTGGTACCCTAGGGCTGGGGTAGACATACATGAAGCTACCAGGCTAGTCACACATGTGAGAATCATGGGCACAGGAAAGGAAGTAGACATTTGGCCTTTCTACTTTGTTCCATGAGAGCTATGGGAGTAGGAGTAAGGGAGGTGATAAGGGACACGCTTGGTTAGCAGCCTAACTTAGGTCAGTTGGCAGCTGGCACAGTGGACCAGATGCCGTATTAAGAGCAGCCCCAAGTCAGCATTTTATTGGAGTTGTGTCAGTTAGTGAACATCTCTTCTGAAGAGAGGAAGAAATCAGTATGTGGATCACAACAAGTGAAGATGGAAGAAGGAAGAACTCCTCTTTTCTGCCCCACCCTTCTGCTTTCCCTTAGACGCTTGTCTTTGTCTCCTTTCCTTTGTACATGGCTCCCACAAGATTCAAGAAGTTCTTTAGGAAAAAAACAACGGAACCAAAGACCCCCCCCCAACCCAGGCACCCTCCCAACAGTGAAAGACACTTGAAAGTCCTGAGCTCAGGTGGGATAGGTGGAATCTAAGGAATGAAATCTTGAGGGCGGGGAAGAAAGGACATCTTAAGAAGGGACCCTCTACTGTGGCTTCCTGGGTGCATCACCACTGCACCTGCCTCAGGTCTAGAGCCTCTATGAATGTGCTAACAAGTACCTTTTATCAGTCAAAACCCAGTGACCAGCAGCTCCCCCAGTCTTATTCTGTGTAATCTACAACACACAGGCCATAGTCTAGGCATTGCCATGTTTCTAGGGGGAGGCAGTTAAATCTTTTTAAATCTATAAATTAAGTGTAGGAATGGATAAGGCTGACAATGTACTACAAGCATCGTAACTATCAGTGGGACAAGTTTTTCAAACACAAATCTGGATTTCAGGATTGTGTGCTTGATGGCACCAGCCAGTGAGGAACGTGGCCTGGCCATGGTGAGCAGTACAGATCTGCTGCAGCTCCTGTCCCTGTCAGTCTCTAGGTGTGTGAACATAACAGACTGCTTAGTCTCTCAGGGCCTCAGTGTTCCAACTTGTAAAACGAGAGAATGATTCTCTCTACATCACAGGTACTATGTGTCAAAGGTGATGTTATCAGTGTAGTATCCAACAGGCTTAGCAAGATGGCTCAGCGGGTAAAGGTGCCTTGCTGCACAAGCCTGGTAATTTGGACACCCCCCCCCAAAGTGGAAAGAGAGAACCAACTCCACAAAACTGTCCTCTCACTTTAAAGCTTGCTTGTGCATGCAAACACACACTCCCTGGCACATACACATGCGCACGCACACACACACCTGTGCACACACACTCACTAATGGTATTAAAGTATAAAAATCGGCACTCTAGCACTACTCCCAAAAAAGGCAGACTTTCATGGAACAGGTCAGAGTGTTCAGGGGCCACACAACGATCCCTAGTCTCCTGTAGCAGGACAAAAGGACAGAGACCATCACAGTAATGAGAGGCCAGGCTGTTTCCCTCCCCGCCGAGGAATAGCAACTGTGATGTAGGCAGAGTTACTCTCTCATTTTACAGGTTGAAAGCTGAGGACCTAAATGACCAAGCTGTCTGTTAAGGTTGTTGCTTCTCAGCGCATTACCTATTATCTCAATGCTCTACCCAAGCTTCCTGGGTCTTAAGAGCTTGCTCTACTTGCCAGCATTCGGGGCATTTTTACCAATCACTGAGATACAAACCCTTCCTTCTGTATTAACAGAAATAGTCTTAATGGACCAGCAGGGTCTTTAAAAATCCAAGCATCGTTTCCCTATGCTTTGATTACAGACTTCAGGGTTCATAAACATATGTTTATGAGCACAGATTTTAAGTTTCTACTCACTTGAATTAAGGCAAACACTTGCAACAGTAAACCTATGGCTGAGGCTATAGCTAAGAGGTGGGGCAAGCCCCAGCCCCAAGAAAACGAAAACTCTACTCAAAATGAGTTTGGGACTTTGGTTGGAGATTATTATTATTAACTGAGATAATTCAGTAGGTTCAAACCCTCCATGTCCTTTCTTTCCCTGATACTAAGGGGCCACTCTCAATTTACTTCCTGTAAACATGGAATGAGCATGCACACTGTACACTACCTTCCAGTGTTGGGGCTGGTTACTTAAGAACTCCTTTCTTAATATCCTCAGAGGGGGAATAATTGGTGTGTTATGATTAAGAGATTATTTTATGTAAACATCTGGAAGAGCAATAATTACCTTCGAAGACTCACAGGTGATATTCAGTCTCCAGAATGGACACAGCTTGTCACACTGGGGACACATAAGGATCTGGCCGCCGATATCGGGATCACAGACTTCTTTGCTAACAAAAGAGAGATAAAGCAACTTAGAAACCTTAGCAAAGGGCTTTCATTTTCTAGCCACATAATAAAAGCTAAGCCCATCCATTACAAGCCAAAAAACTGAAGCCTACAGAACAGTATCACGGGTAACAGTTTTAATTCTGATAAAGACTCACCATATAGAAGCTATAAAAAGCATACGGAATAATAAATGGTCTACTTCTTTTCTTCAAAAAATATTTTTTACCTTTATTTTTATTTATCTGGGTGGGTGTTTTGCCAGCCTGGATGTCTATGCACTGTGCACAGAAGCCAGAGAGAACATTGGATTCCCTGGGATTGGAGTTATAGATGGTTATGAACCAGCAAGGTGCTGGGAATAGAACCCAGACCATCTGGAAGATGAGTCAGTACTCTTAACTACATAGACATCTCTCCAGATCCTAATATTTTAATATATTTTTATTTATTCTTTGAGAATTTCATACAGTGCCCCAAATGTACCCTTAAATTCGGGATATGACAAAGGTCCTCCTCCATAATTGCTTTGGCTGGAGCTCTCTGAAGAACAAGAGAGACCAGAGAAGCAAGGCTATGAGAATGGGGAGGAGGGAAACCTGCTGTCTCCACATACCTCCTAGGAACCTGCCGTTCTTCACAAAACCCTCCAGTTGCTGGTTTTATTTGATCTAGAAGTGGCATTTCTACTTCTCCTTCCATGAGCCTCAGACAGAAGTAACTTAACCCATCCCCTACTCCAGATACTAGTATTTGTCAAAGCATTCTGTCTGGCCTTAAATCCAGAGATAATAAGAGCATATTTAGTAAAGTTTGTGGAAACAAAATCAATGTATAAAGTATATACAGGGAACCAAAAGAGATTTTTCTCCTTATCTACCTGTAACAATTGGGAAATAATTTTTAAAACCTATTTTTCAGTAGATTTACAAGTATAGTGTTGAAGAATGAATCTAGCCAGGCATTGGTGGCACATGCCTTTAATCCCAGCACTCGGGAGGCAGAGGCAGGCGGATCTCTGTGAGTTCGAGGCCAGCCTGGTCTCCAGAGTGAGTGCCAGGATAGGCTCCAAAGCTACACAGAAAAACTCTGTCTCGAAAAACAAAAAACAAAACAAACAAAAAAAAAGATGTATTAAATATTTATATGAAAAAACTATATAACTTGGTCAAATATAGTGAAAACCTGCACTATGATTTTCAGAATTGTTTATGGTGACAGAGATCAGTTTTTGTGTTAGATCACTTCCATTTGATCTACAAATCTCACAGAAGACCCAAAGTTCAGAATAGACGAGTTCCTATTAGGCATGGCTGGCACAAGCTAAAACAAAAACCAACAGCACAAAATGAAACATGCAGAGATTTCTACCTATATCCAAAGATCTGGTCACCAAATAAGGAAGAGCCAAATGGACAGCTCAATTCATGACACTAGGAAAGACATGAACTTAAGTAAACCACAGTCGTATCACTGAAATACATTCCACTTAAGAAATGAGAACGACTACAGGACAGGAAAAAGAAATAGATGGGGCCCAAGAGATGGGCTCCACAGTCAAAGAGTACAGTACATACTGCTCTTACAGAGGACCTGACCTGGGGTCCCAGCACCTACATAGGGCAGCTCTGATGCCCTCTTTGGCTTTTGGGGGCACCTGCACACACACACACACACACACACACACACACACACACACCACACAGAGGCACACACACACACACACAAGCACACATAAAATTGAAATGAAAGAAGTCTTTTTCAAAGAGAAAATAACAACATTAAAAGAATATTTCATTAATCTTACATTAAAGAGAAATGCTGTCAACATGGAAACAAAAATCATAGAGGAAGTTACTAAAACATTCAAGATTTAATGAGAAGAGGCAATTAGTTGTGGACTGCTCCTACAGGTGATACTGTTTCAGATGGACCCAACTGGAATGGGGCCAGAATAGTCATTGGTTAGGTGACCACACAAATAACTCCGAGAAATCAGTGGGTTTGAGAAGCATGTCTGAGAGAGCTGAATAAGCGCTCAGAAAACCTACTCATTCACAAAGTCAATGAGAACAATGGCAAAAATGTTCAAATTCACCCTTTTCTGAACTCTGAAAGTTAACCGAATGCTTGCAGTTGCCTAATGACTGTCGTTCGTGTGTGTGTGTGTGTGTGTGTGTGTGTGTGTGTGTGTGTGTGTGTGTGTGTGTGTAAATGGGCTGGTCCAGATGAGAAGAATACAACTTTTAGCATT